CTATAGAAGTAACCTTTAGTATAAATTCAATACTTTCAGATGACCATTATATGCATAAAAAAACCAAATACACAATAATAACATTTGATGTGTTCAAAAAATCACCGATACTTGGAAGTGACCGTTAACGGAAATGTTACTGTACTTTGAAATTAAGACTCTAATGATTATCTTAAACTAAGAAGTTATAATGTATTTAACCGATGAAAAAATAAAAATGTTAAAATATTACTTATTGATACTCTGGTACATAGGTTTTATATTAAGTTATTTAACTACTTCAGTTAAATTTTATTTTATATGACATAATTGTTTTATTACGTAATCTACTTTATAAATACAGAATTAATCAGGATTTTATTTTAATATATTAACAAATTTTAAATATTATTCAAATTTATATAAATTAATAAATAAATAAATTAATTAATAAATTTTATTCAATATATGTAACGAGTATGTATGTATATATGTATGAACGAGTATCGTATTTGATAATTTCAAGTTTATATCCAGACAAATGTAAGTTAGAAATCCATGGAAACATATTTAATGAAAATTTAATTTTATAAACATCAAACATTTAAAACTATATTCAGTCATATCAGGTTTCGTTGCTTCCAATTATAACTTCTTATGATTATTTTAAAAACTGGTCAATTTCTAGTCCATAAAATTACAGAAAGAACATTAAAGTCGACCTTTAAATAAATTATATTTTATTAAATCCACTAAACCTGAAACTTTTAAATAATTTATCAACATTAAATTCTAGTATTTAATAAATTAGGTATTATATTTCTTATTTATTAAGAAATTCAATTTATTAAATTACATAAATGTATAATTTTAAACTTAAATCGTTTGTACTGTACTCAATTGTTGTACAGTTAACTTGTACAAACTAATAGGTACTTTTGTTTAATAGTTTTTTAATAGTTTTAGTAATTTAGTAAAGTAAATAAATTTATATTAGGTATTTTATAAAAAATTGAAAAGGACTATAATAATTAGACAGCTAATTTTTCATATAAAAGAACATTCAGTTATCAAACACATTTAAAAAAAAAAAAAAAAATTTGATGGAAGTTTTTAAAAAATACTTACAAATTATATTATATTTATAATTTATAATAATATTACTTAAAATAATTTATGATTTGTAAGAACTTAATAATAATTTAATAATAATTAATTGAATGATACCTATCTATGTTATTGATTTAATAAACTTTATAATATAAATTCTTCTATATTCAACTAAAATAATCATCCATCAATCTTGTGTTAATGTCATTATCTTCACATGTTTAACATGTATATAATATTTTTATTAAAATTCGTCTATTTAATCATAGGATCTTATTATTCTCTTTATTTTTTTATTTAAAATAATTAAAAAAACAAAGGATAATTTTAATTGGAAGCTTTAAATAATATATGACAAAGATATGGGCCATATAACTCGTCAAAATTTCAATTCATTCTTATATAGATAACACGGTTAAAAATAATTTACTTATATTTGAGTTGAATTTATATAGGTATATATTATACAAAAGCTAAACATATATTATTGTTTAACTATGTATATAGTATTTTTGCTTGTAAAAAATGTATAACTACATACATACAATGTTTGACTTGAAGATTGACGCAAGGGAACGGAGTACCCCAACTGATTTTCAGAAATTTTAGCGTCCCCCTACTATTAATACGTTATAATTATAACGCTTTGTAATTCTTGGGGACGCTATTTTTTTTAAAATAAAAAGAGTCCCCCTTATTTAATTTTGCCAAGTCAAGCACTGACTACAACCACATGTACACACATAGAAATATTATGATTAAAAATAAAATAACGCTTAGTAACTGTAAATGTAAGATAATTAAGCAAAACAAATGTAAATATAACAACTTCGTTTGAACTTAGTTCGAACGTTATTCAAATAAAAACCATGATACTGAGTCATCGAGTCATTAAAAAAATACACTTGGTTAAGTGGTGAATCATGCAAAAGTATAAAATTGTTGAATGAATCTATAATAAAGTCAATAAGTTATAAACATTCATCGATTAAGGAAATATAAATTAATATAGTGCCATAGCACACTATTTTAAAAATAATCATAAGATCATAAATGTGTACGATTTATAATTATAAATTTGTAAATTATTCAAAAAATTCAATTATGAATAAAAACATGCAAATAGTTGTGAATTCCCTTCGCTATAATCATGGAATAGATATGTGTAAATAAAAAAAATAACATTTTCCTAGGATTAAATAAATACCTAAAAAAATACTAAACACTAAGACACATATGTTGTATTTTAAAATATACTTTATAAGAAATTTGATTTTTATTTAAAATTACCTAACTAATCTTTATTACTGTTAATGATTTATTATTAGGTTTTGGAAGAAAAACACTCTTAATTTAATTAAATCAACAAATTTGAAATTAAACAGTTGAAGAACCAATAAGATGATAACAATTATAAATTATAATATACAGATAAATAAATAAATAAGTTAGTTTATGCATCGTATGGAAATGGTTGATTAATGTAACTTTTACTGATTACACTCGTATAATATTTAGTATTAACAAATTTAAAAAACAATTGCACATATTATTTTTATTTTTCGTGATATTTTTATGATTTTCTTAATTTATAAAGTTTTATTTATTATAAATATTTTATTTAAAATTTTATGGCGCTCGCTCTATATATTTTATGTAAGTATAAAAAACAACGTTTTATGTTGTTGTTTTTTTATAGTGCATGAAGCAGAAGCATCCTAAAATCGTGTGTTATGTTATGTTTATTTCATTTTTATGTAGTGGATTATATGTAAATTTAGTGTAATGCAGATATAGTATATCGAGTTGCGTATAGCCGTATAGGTCACAAATTCACACGTACTTTATTACCAGGGCTCATAATTTATAGCATTTACATTATTTTTTTTTTTGGGAGGTCATAGAAATACCTATGTGTGTCATATATTTGTTTCATATAACTAAGAAACTAAATACAAAATGTTATATTGCATTTTTCAAAGTATAAGTGCTATTTTGCTTTTTTAAGCTTTTTACAGTTCCGTAGCATTTAAAACATTTTTTCTTAATAATAACAAGTAATTATAGCATTATTAATTTTTATATTTGTAATTAATTCATTTTAATTAACTAATTCTTCTTTTTTTTGGTTTAAATTATGTATTTAATTGTATCATATAACGACGCGATCGGCATTTTAATAATAAGAGTTTACATTTTTTTTATACATGATATATTTTTTTTCGCATATTTTTGTATTTTTAGTGCATATTTAAGAGTTTATATGAATATTTTTAAGAGCATATTATAGCACTTATAACTATCTTTTTTAGAGCTATTAGTTATGAGCCCTGGTTATTATCATTGACGAAATAATTTTTTTGTAGTTCAATGTTGGATAGTAAAATACATTATCTAGGTTTAGGTAATTCTAAACGAGTATTGTAGGTAATCAACAATTTCTGATACTTTTGCGGTAAGCTGATGACATGTACCATACACACAAATATAGATATTGCACCCACTTTATTTTAAATATTTACTTTGAACACACGCAATATTTTAGCAGTGTGTATGTATATATATATATGTATTATCGTTGTAAATTTAATGAAAGTTCAAATAATTAATATTGTATTCAAAATGTCTACGTTAAATCATGAAATAAACGATTATATTATTCGTGCAGTCATTAATATTATCCCATGCGTTGTGTGTTATTGTACATCGTATGACGTTTTATAATCTTCATAATATTATAATATTATACACGATATTATTTTCTCAATGCGAGTAAAATTTGAATCAGATTCAGTACGAAAATTCAGAATTAGAAACCTATACTTCTGTAATTTTTTTTTTTTTTTTTAATATTATTTTAAAAGTTAAAGGATTAATACAAGTATTTTTCAATATTCTTTTTTGACGTACTATTTTGATTAAGAAAATTTCGTTAGGTATAGAAAATAGTGGAGTGTACTAAGGTTGAGTATTGTCGTTATTTAACAATTCAACGTTTAAATACTAGATTTCGTTAACGGGGTTAATATATGTTTAATTATAATTGTTTTCTACGAGTTTGTGTTTTTTGTATAGGTGGTTATTTAAAATCCGATGATTTGTATTTACAAGCAAGAAGGAGCATTTCATAAGCCTATAATTTTGGAATTAGTTTTCGCCAGGGCGCAATGAATACGATGGATGTTTATTTCCCTTACTAATGATTTTAATTTCGCTGCACGTAAGTAGACAGAAAATGACGTATTTATTATACAAGGTCTTCCAGAAAGACGGAAAAAATTGAAAAAACTCTCGTAAAAGTAAAAAAATGTATTTATACAATTATTTATTTATAAATACCTCTTTATTCGTACCCGTAAATTCATTTTTTATCTACCATACATGTCACTAAGTGTCCAAAAGTTAAAAATATCATGTTTTAAAATTAATTTCCGTTGAATAGGGTTTAATCGTACATATTTATTCCTGAAATGAAAATGTGCTTCGCTGAACGTTTACAATTTAATGACATGTAATGTAGATACTGTATTCAATAATAAAAGTATATAAATTAATTTTCCACGTCCGTGGGAGTCATAACAAATTTTCCCATTTTCCCGAAAGACTAAATTACTCGGTAATTTCACCGTAATGTAAGATATCCGTCACACATTATTACATTATACACATCTGTGGATATTGTGCACATCGCAGGGCGATAAAAGTCGCACGGATTGCGACTAGTGTGTTCGAAAATCTGCAAGCAATCATCTTGGCCGGCAGATGGAGTGCGCGGTTGTCGACCTGCGAACGCGCGGCGTCGTTCAGCTCAGCTGACCGCCGCCGCCGTCCGTTCCTCCGCCCGCCGCTTTTTCCGTTCGCGACCGCCCACCCGTCGCGTTGCGGCGGCGCCCCCGACGATGTGCATCGCCGCGAAATCCGTCGACCGACAGTCGGCACGTTTACACCTGATCGGACGTACGTGCGTTCCTCTCGGTTGATCGGTATCGACTGACGCAACCGTCGCGCGCGCGAGTGAGTGTGTGTGTGTGTGTGTGTGTTCTCGTCTCTCGTCCGAAATGTTCGAACGTCCGGATTTGTTTACATACCGCCCCGTCACCACGTCCCGGTGAGTTTCTTAAATTTTTTCCCCGCGGCCAAGCGCAAGTTCGCAAGTGCGCGTGTCCGGTGCGTCCAGTGCGCGTTTTCGCCCGCAAACGATCCCAGGTGCCGCGCGTCGTCGTTTTTCGACAGTGGTCAACGTTCGCCGCGGGTGTTGATCAGCGTCGTTCGCACCATCGCGGAACACGTACGTGCTAGGTGTTTGCACGTTTGTAAACGAGCACGCGCACGTGCTCGCACGCAACGCACACCGCACCTGATCCGACCTGACCACCGACATGCGGCGGTTTTTGTTGGCGGTCATCGCGTTATCCGCGCACCGGCTGCGGGACGGATGCACCGCTTATCCGTCATCGTCGTCGTCCGCAGATTGCGACGTCGCCGTACAGCGGTTCCGTTCGGTCGGCCTGTACGATACACCGTCGTCGCGAATCGACCAAGGTAAGCGCACCCAGCGACGTATCGTTACTCGGTTAATGTGATCTATGCGGTCAACGGTTAGTATGTGCTTGGAAAGATAAAAAAAAAAAAAAAGGGGAAAAACGGTCTATGGTCGTATGCGTAGTGGCTATACATCCCCGCGACCGTGTTTCGCAACCGTTGTACCACGCGCGACCACTGCGATGGTACTGTACACCTGTACTCGTGTAGTACTATTATCGCGATATCCATAGTTCGATCGCTTTCCGAACGTTCTCTATATTTCCACTGCGTTTGGTTACGTTAAAACAATTAAAATATTTATAGTTAAGTTTCCGAGTATAGGCTATTGAGAATAGGTCGTGCACGTGATTTATACGACGTACGCATTGTCGAGATTAACTGTAGGTACGTATTATTATTACTATTATTACTGTGTAAAATTTACTGTCGGGTGAACGACTGTGTCATGGTGAGATCCGGAGTGTGTATCAGGAGCAATGAGGACTTATCAAAGGACTTATACGATTCGTATTATACTTACGTATAATTTTTAAAGAGTGATCGGATTCCGATCACCCCCAGTCCCATTTGAACAGTGTCACTTATCAGATGATCGGTCCATTTAACATCACACTATAAAACTATATATATATATAACTAATTAATTTCATCTACATTGGTTACGTTTGGTGTTTATACGTACCATATATTGAACGGTTTCGTTTTGACGATCTGAGATCAACGTAATAAGTTGCAAGAAAATATTCTTAACTAATTAAGTTAATTTGTTAATTACTATTCTTAACATTTTTTAACTACTTATTAATCAAAGAAACATAAAAAAATATTTTACCCTGTTTAAAAAAATCAACTTCTAGAACACGCAGGAATGGTAATTGTTTGGGCTTATGTATGAAATTCGATTTTTATTGATTCAGTGCAATTAGGATAATTATTTGAAGTTTATTTTATTGCGTACGTATTCGATTTCATGAATGTTGTACCTGCACTCTCATAATCAGCTGAAAATATTCAGATTTCAATGGAAATAATACAATTTAATTTAAGCTGAATATTATTTTGTTTTTTCGATGTTATTAATTTATATTTTTTGTAAGTGTAATAATTGATAAGAAATAATTAATTTAAGTTTTTAATTCAATTTTAAATTTCCAAAAATAGTTTTTATGGTCAAAGAACTGCTAAAAAAATAATACTCCTAATTTGTTGCTCAATATAAAATAACTGTTTGGTATTATGATGTATAATTTAAATTCAATAATATAATTGAATGGTCGACGAGAATAACGTGCTATGTAACAATTCGTATATGTTACAGTAACAAATAAAAATAAAAAATGTACCTATTATTATTTCTTATAAATATTATTTGGAATGCATGTTCTTAACGGTTTAACAAAATTATATCATATTTATATTTATGAAATTTTCAAGTAATTTTTAAAAAATATTTTCATATTATTCCGCAAAAAAAAAAAATTAATCTAAAAAATTATTTGTAAAGCACGTACTCCCGTCGAATCTTTGATTTACTATATAAATTATGGCTTAAACACTTATACATTTTATCACATGTATGTACATCAAAAAATGATCCACACATGAAAATTATATGAGAACCATTGATAAATTGATTAATTTTGGTAAAAATACCTAGCTGATATAAATAGGTGAATGGTAAATTGCTTTTTAATCAATTATAAAAAAAAAATTTATTATTCTTATTCGTTTTTATTTCACTCAATGAGTAAACTTTATGTTTTTAGTTCAAGTTTAGTTGGTAAAACAAATTACATTTCAATAAGTATTAAGTTGAAGAATGTATAATTTAAACACAACTACGATTTTTGTCTTTTAACTTTTCAAACTTTACTTATAAAAACTAATGTAAAAAATTAACTATAATATATAATTAATATACTTAATTATATAATTATTAATAATTAATTATCTCAATCGAATGTAAGTGGTATAATTGTTTAATCATTTTAATCATTGTACGGTATTTACTGTTATATTTACTGTTTGAGCTGTTAAAAAAAATTTCTTTCGTGTTTATGTATTACACATGTACATCATGTTAACCTTGGGGGTGTGTTCTTCTCTTTTAAAAAAGGTACTGAACTCCTAATTGAACATGTCGGGTATTTTTTTTTTTTGTAAACTATACCGCAATGACTTCATTATACTACGGTAACAGGGACTCAGAAATCGTGATCGCGCGCTCTCCGTATAAAATGATATTATTGCTGTTTGGGTCAGCCGCCTCCCATTAATTCAACTAAAACACGGTAACCACAAGCGCCGGCGCGATTAACGTATACGTGGTACTGATTCCAATACTTCAGGCGCATCATATAATTTTGTCTCCGTTTTATTTTTAGATTAATATCAAAAAAAATACAGGACCTCACTGAGAGAAATTCGTGTGTGTGCCCAGGGTTAAATTATTTACAAATATTTTTTATAATATAAATTTAAAACCTACGATTACAATAGATGATAAAAAGTTATTTAATCATAATAATAATAATTCCGAATATAGGTAATAAGTAGTATTAAAGGTGGTATATTTATTTTTATTAAATTAAAGATTTAATAAATATTATTGTTTTGTCGAATGGTTTTTAGACTTTGGCTAACTATAATTTAAAAGCTTAATTAAATCAATAATAAATGGATTTATATATTATAATTGAAGTATTATATAATAATTATACATCATCTAATGCAAATTACTAAAATGTTTTTTATAAGCTTGGGTAAACTAATTAAATTATTAGCAGATGGGGTACATATTGTTTATTAATTATGTATACATTGAAATAAATAGTATTACATTTACAGAAAGTTGCTGTTATAGGTAATTTATTTATTTAGATTGTAGTTGAATATTATATTTTATAATGAGTAATAAATCGATTATGTTAATTCAATAAATTAATTATATAAATATATAGGTATACGTAATTTATGCAAAGGTAATCTAATGCGTAATTCCACAAGTCCATTATTTTTACAAACATATATATTGGATTTGTGAAATTACGCATTAGATTACCTATACTTTAGTTTATTCTTAGTGATGTACAACAAATGGAACATATATGATCAGTTATAACTTTTAATGTTATATTAACAAATGAGCAATTAATTGATATCATTCATTTTTTTATGGATTAACATTTTTTTATCAGAATGTACATTTTTAGGACTTTAAAATGGAACACATTTAGTATATTCGTACAGTCCTTACAATTTTATAATAACTGTGTCTTTAGAATTATTCGAAGTATTTTATTTTATAGACATTTTTTTTTCTAATTATGTTTTCAAGTGTATACCTGCTGGTTGGAAAATAAATATAAGACTGTTTGTTGTACATTTTATTGCTTGTTGAAAAAATTAAGTTCATAAATGGTTGATAGTAAATAATACAAATAGATTAATATAATATAAATATAAATGAATACATTAAAAATTAAATTAGAAAATGGGCATCATATTATTAGTATTAATTTTTTCAATGTCTTAAACTCCATAAATCAGTTTTTCGGAGTATGTATAATATGAGTTACAATTTTGAACCAGATTCAAAGTTTGAGATGAAATTGAAAATGTATTTTTTTTCTAATCATGAAAAAGTTAGTTAAAACAAAAAAATGTTGATTATCTGTGGTGCTACGAGAGGCCGTGTATTATTACGAAGTTTGAATTTAATGTCATAGAAAAAAAAAATAAACCGACCAAAGTCTTTCCGAATAATCAAAGCTTTATAAAATAATGAATATTATTTCAGGATATACGAGCTATTAGGTCATAGGTGGGGACATTGGTGCTTGGCCGAGCTCCCGTGGCTGATTGCCAACTGGAGTGGGCACGGACAATATTTTCAAGCATTATCCAAAATTAAAAAAAAAAAAACAGACCGGTCGGTCGCTAAAAGTTATTTTATCAGCTTATCATCAATATGGTCAACAAAAGCTTTTTATACATCTTAATTCAAAATCTGATCGCCACTAATACAATATACAATTGCGAAATTATAACGATTGTACTTTTTTTTCTTTCAGATAAAAATCTATTTTACAATTTTTACGCTTACTTCAACTGTGCATTAGCAAGATAGCCCGTAAATTTAAATAATCGTGTTGTAAAGACGATTTACATACAAAAAGTACTTTAATTATATAGTTTAACAGCCGTGTCATCTCAAACAAATTTGCCGTTTGCTGAAGAATTTAAGTACTTATTTAACATAACTACTGTAAATTATGATTCCGATTATAATTAAAGTATAATATACTTGATTACTAGTCATATTCAAATATTTTGTGATTCAAAAAGGTCGAGTTTTTTTTAACATAATAACTAAATTAATGTATTTTAATATAATTATAAAAAGGATCCGAATAATAAATATTAGAATAATTCAAGCTATTTTTAATTAAATACTATCGAAACGACGAAATTGTTATGTTATGCAGGTATTTGATATTATTTATGTATTAATGTGAGAACGAACCAGTTCCTGATGGAACGTCCGTTCTAGAGTTCCAGACGTACCTAATGTGACGTCACGTCTGTTTGTAAAACAATGTAAAATTATAGTGGGAACGAGCCAAATAACTGTGTAACTGTCCGCACAGTTAATAATAGGAAGGCGGATTTATCGGTCTTAAAAATTCCCTATATGATGCATTTTGATAGGGAAAAAGATGTTTCATTTAAAACTCGTCCGGGAAGTTGGCCAAATAGATTTATCAATGTAATTAATATGGGTGTACATGGGACACGGTATAGCGATATTATTTAAAAGCTTTTTCATATAATTTATGACGTAACACGCTTTATTACTCGTACGACGATTCGATAACAGTGAATATTAATCTAGTCTAAAATTATAAACTTGTCACCACCAATTCGTGTAAAATGTCTACTATATATGTATATTTGTACTTTTGTGCGCGATTTGAAAATAATATTAACTCGTGAGT